AGCTCCGGGTAGGTTGTCCGCCGCTTCCTCTCCTCAGCTTCGCGGAGGGCTTAGCCAAGCTCGACGTTTCTGCCAGGCCGGCTAGCCCCTTTCCGTTGCACGGGGATACCAGCGTGACATCAACGGCGACCTGGGCGCCGCCACCCTGGCCAGATGTGTTTGGCTCCTCTCCTCCCACTCGCTTCTGCGGCAAGTGCCTCCACCATCGACTTCCAGGCGGGTTGTGCCGCGGGTGAAATTAAAGCGCTAGCGCGAGGTATATCTAGCATGACACTGGCAGTCAGAGGGGGCGTTTTGCTCGCGCCCAGGTTCTCTGTTGAAGGCGCTGCGCACTTTATGTGCGCGCTTCCTCTTTGGGCGCATTGCAACTAACTTGGGCCCCCACAATTCAAGCAACCGGCGCCGGCGGCTCAAGTATTGCGGGGCGTTTTTTCCCCACGCGCTTTTTTTGCCCACACGAAGGAAAAGGAGACAGCAGGCGGGAAGCACGCCACGACTACCACCGTAAGGGGATGCGGCTGGGAAGAGGACGTGGCCCCACATCCGCCGCAGGCCGCACAGGCGAGAGCCAGGCGCCGCCCAACAAGATCATCGCCTGAGCCGGGCGGCGGGACAAGTCTGAGTCGGAGGTGCGCAAAGTTACGGATCACGCCACTGGCCTTTCCGAGGACTGTCCGGTTTGCGCCTGTCCGCTTTGCTTGTCACATGGACTTTGAAAGCCAAGCCCAGTGGCTTGAAGCCAACCCCAAGTGAGCTCTCTGAAACCACTGGCCTCCCGGAGCCTAAGTGTGCTAAGCTCTTGGCGCAGGCGACCTTCGCTAAGGCGAGGCCGAAAGCAGTCAGAACGCCCGGAGCTAAAGCTAACTAAAACAGTCGCTCAAGCTGCGCCGCTCGACTCTCCGGCGCCGAGGCCCCAGTGCCGCCACCAACCGTGCCCATGCGCGCCGCAAAGCGCCCGAAGACCCTCGCAGTCATGCCGGCGCGCCCTACACTTCCTGACAGCCAAGCCGCCCAGGCCTGCGCCTTCGCGCCCTTGCTTGGTTGATTCGACAGCGACGCCTCGACGCAGCAGGCGGGCTGTTTCCCCGACGCGGAGCCTCAAGGCAGGCTGCCAGCCTCGCGCAGCAAGGAGTGCTTGGCCTGTAGAAGATTCACGGGTGCTTGATGCCAAGCCAAAAAAGCTAAGAGCCACCTGCCCGTGATGCGCCCGCTTCACTTTTTTGAGGCTTGCAGCTGAGGTTGGCAGCGACGGACACGCTGTGGTGCGCCTGCCCCGGAACCGCTAGTTGCCTCGCAGCGCTCGCCCTAGCAAAAGATCAAATCCAATCAGCTGCACACCAGAAGCCGCGTGGGGCTTAGGCGGCTCGATGCGGCTGGCTTGGCAACCCAAGGTCAAACTATTGTTCGCGCAGTCTCTTATGCGCCGGGCTGCCTCAACCATCCCAGACCTGGATGGCGGCACCAATGGTGGAAGTTGACACGCTGGCCCAGCTAAGTCTGCCGCTTCCACGCGGGGAGCCGTGGGCTTTGCCCATTGCCAAAAACATCGCCGGGGCCGATGCTCGCGCAGCAAAAAGCTGGACGATTTGAGACCCGCGTTCGCAATAGATTTCCTCGATCTTGAGTTCCCCTGGGCCGAGAAATCCTCCTCCGGCTTCACGGCTGGCTTTTTTTGCGATTGGGCCTGTCTTTGCAGATGGCCGTTTGCAGCCGTCAGTTCCATATGTTCTGAAAGAGAGTGCCTTTGGCGGCTGAGAGGAAAACAAGGACACGCGCAGAGAGGTTGAGGCGGACGGTCGGACGAGAGAGAGAGAGAGAGAGAGAGAGAGAGAGAGAGAGAGAGAGAGAGAGAGAGAGAGAGAGAGAGAGAGAGAGAGAGAGAGAGAGAGAGAGAGAGAGAGAGAGAAGACAGAGACAGAGACAGAGACAGAGACAGATGAAACAAACCAGACCAGACAGACAGAGAGACAGAGAGACAGAGAGACAGAGAGACAGAGAGACAGAGAGACAGAGAGACAGAGAGACAGAGAAACATAGAAACAGAAACAAAGACAGAGACCGAGACCGAGACCGAGACAGAGACAGACAGACGCAGACAGACCCAGACAGACGCAGACAAACACAGACAGACACAGACAAACACAGACAGACACAGACAGACACAGGCGGACCAGACAGACGACAGAAGGCAAATGCCGTAGGCGGCAAGACTTGGCGCCGGGCCACGAGCCGAAGCGCCCAGCTGGCAATGCGAGCAAGTGCCCAAGGAGCGCCGCGATGGCAAAAAGCTGCGCACGCGCAAGCCGCCCCGTCCCGAACCAAGCAGGCGGTCTGAGGCCAGAGGCCCGGGAAACCTTTGGAAAGGAAAGGTACGCTGCTCCAGTTGCTGGCTACTTGGCCCTTGAAGCCTTCCATGTTCAGGGCGGAGGGTCCTTTGATAACCTTTGACCTGGACTCTGGAAAGCCAAACGAAAAAAACGAAAAACGCAAAAATGGATGCCAATCTTCCATGCTATCCCGCTTGCCTATTGATAATTGTGCCCTTCCCGAAACTGCAAGGACCTGGCCTGGGTGCGAAGTCTCGGGAGACCTGAACTCATCAAGAGCTCTTAAAGCAAGCTTGCTTTAATCTGAAGTTCTTGCAGCTTTCAACTACATCTGTCAGATTGAATTGAATGAGGACCCATTTGCAGGCAAGGAATCACAGAAGTCGAGACGGCGTTCATCAGTCGCAGTCAACGAGCGCCGCGCTTGCAGGCACCTCTGTCCGAAAAGCTTTTGTCAAGCAAGCTGAGCGAGCACTGGAAATCTGACCCAACCTGCAGTCGGGGAACCCGCGCATCGTGGAAAGCGACGTAGCGGCAAACGTGGTGCGCCAAGCAGCAGCGATGACGTGCACACTTTACAAGTCTACCACGCGTCTTGCACGAATCAGTGCGAGGTTGAGTGCTTTGGCGCACAGGCGTCATCCGTTGTGAAACTCTATCATCTGCGTGGCAAAGTCGATCGCGGGACGGAACGGATTGGAGATCTGGATTCTCTGTTGGTACAGGCGTCATCAGGCGTTCTTTTCTTTGAGACCATTGAGCCCAGTTTCTCTTATTCAAGTGCCACAAGGGGGCGCCTCACTTTGGGAAACACCTACGGCTTATGATTAAGTGCAGGTTCGGCAAAACCTAAACACCCCGAATAAACGCGCAGGACGCCATTCAACTCAGCCAGCGGATGGAATCGAGGGCAGTTTGGGCAGCGGCAATCGGTGGCGGTTCGCTGCGATTGGCCAAACATGGGCGCAGGGACTCGCACATGAGGCTTGAACTACTGCAAGTTGAGACGTTGACTTCCTCTCTACCCCTTATAGCCAGTTTGCCGTATATCGTCACAATACCATGCCAAAGCGATGTCATTGTTCGTGCATGCAGCAAACAATCACCTGGCATCTCTATTCCGAGCTTCTGAAGAAGGCGGCGTGCGGAGATAAGACGCTTTTAGACAGAAGGAAGCGACCCGCGTTGGTTTGCCCGAGCCACTGGTTGGCCCTTCGCCGATGCTTGCGCTTGCAAGGCCCAGGCGAGGCGACGGCTTCTTTCACTCGCGCTTTTGCCGGGCGGGCGCATGCTTTGTTTTATCTTGTTGGGGTGCCGGCCGCAAAACTGCCAATCATGTCTGGAAACGTGCACGAGCGGGGGCTGTTGTTGATCATTTCGGGCTCCTTTCTAAGAGCACGCGTGAAACAAATGAATCATGGTTGCTTGATCCCAATCAGTGGGAAAGCAACTGGAGCTTCTCTGCAACTCTGACAGACAACCATACATTCAATTGCTGACTGATTGTTTTGGACCGGCGCCACTTGGCGTCGCATCGTCGCATCGTCGCCTCGTCGCCGCATCGTCGCGTCGCGCTGCTGGAATCGAACAGCTGGCAGCACTGCAGCAGCACTCTTTTTGATTCGCGGTACTTGCGCTGCAGGAACCCAGGATGAATCAACCCCTGTCAAAGTCAGGGTGTGCAACCAATCATAGAGGGGATCCATCATTTTTGGGCAAACCCAAAGCCCGAAATCTGACACGGGTGGATATCTCCGGGGTCCAACGAATAAGTGTGTGCACCTTCACGTGCGCCTTGTGAAGCTGTCTGCCGGCATGTTCGGTCCGAGTCTCTTTGGAATAAAGTCGGAGGGTTCCTTCCTGCCTGCGAACTCATGAACCGTAGAACACATGGCCATGAAATTGATGACCAGAAATGACCATGAAGTCACTGACCAATGACAAAACGACCATCAACCCAACCAATGAGCTCTGTTCTTTCAACTTCAGAAATCCCCCTCTCCAGGCATGCCTTTGAGACAGCTCCGAACCGAGTCTGCGCGGGGTATTCAGAGGCTGACAGTTTTGTCAGCACTCTGAAAATGGAAAGCGCCTCCAGCAATTCCTTCAGCCATCCAGCCTCCCATCCACAAACATGGAGCCCTGGGGGTCCTGGAAAACGAGGAAAAGGAGCCCTGTGGTGAGTTCCATGTTGGTGGACGCGAGGGTATGCAGCGAACATCCTAGAGCACTGCAGCGAAGCCTAGAGCATCTGAAGATATACTCTTCCCGTCAACATATTTGGGACAACCATACACCCTTTCTACATTTCCTCAACCATACAACCATACAACCATTTTGATCACGCATCATCCATCGCCTTTTGGCCCAAACAAGACTAGGGTGACTAGGGACGACCAGCTTTTGTTTTGTCTGAGGGATAGGGAAAGAAAGGGCTTTTGTTCACCATTCTCTACCAACACTGGGTTCAGGACCGAGACACACTCGTCAAACTTCTAGATGCTGGCAAAATTGGACCTCTCCCCCGCCAAGAAAAAGAAGAGATGGAAAGAAAGAGAGAGAGAGAAAGAGAGAGAGAGAGAGTGAGAGAGAGAGAGAGAGTGAGAGAGCGAGAGAGAAAAAGAGACCCTCCCAACAAAAAAACACCAACTGAATGGACGTCCGGCAGTTCTATGTCACAGCTCTCTGCTCTTGGCTCACTGCAGGCAGGAATTCTCATCTCTTCACAGTCACATGGCCAGTGCCATCTGGCTGGAAGAGCTTGATCATCCGCTCCTGGTGCTCCTGCTCCAACCTCGAAAAAATTGCCCCAGCCAAGTCGCGCGTGGCAGCAGTTCGACGCTCGACGTTTCGGGGCATCCGGGCTTAGATTCTAAAAACAAAAAAACAGGGAGCGGGTCCCCAACGACTGGTTGCATGTTTGTTTGTTTTTTGTGGGAGGGTCAGGGTCCGGGCGTGAACAAAGCTAAGTGTCCATTGTCAGCTGAAAGGAAAAGGATTCCACTGGCTTCAGTTTGGATCTAGTCATTTACCAGCGCCTCAAAAGGACAACTGGGCTCGGGCTTGCTCTACTTCTGTCGAAGCGCTTGCTCCCAACCATTCCTGTCACGAATGTATCGTTTGGACATCCATGTTCCATCCTTGCGCGAAAGGGGTGCCTTGTTTGTGTTGCTTGGTCTATTTGGAAGTCTTCACAAACCAAGCATGATGACCGGCATTGCCACTAGGCAACAGAGGCATCGCCAGTCTTGTTCTGAAGTTCCAAACTGCAGGATCCACCCCCAATGACCCCAAGAAAGCTCATCTTTTGACCATAGTGACCTGCCACAGGCACATGACCTTCCCCGTTGTAGGGGGTACCTCAAGCTCCATGCTTCAAGTCGGAAAAAAAACAGGAGCCATCAAATGGATCCGATGCGGCGAAACAAAAACAAAAAATGAAAATTACCGGCGGCGTCCACCGGTGGCGAAGATTTTCCGCTCTGCGACTTCCGGAACACGCGGCCGCCGAGACGGCCCCGACTCTTGGAACCTTCCGGACCCCTGGGAGTCCAGGGGGTCCGTGGCACGGACACACCTGGAGCCTCCAAAAAAAAAGGCCGCCAGCCACAGGGCGAGAAGGTGTTTGCCATGAAGAAGCAGTCAAGATGCGCATGGCGATGGTTGATCCTCAGATAAAATTTTAGAGATCAACTTGTGGGAGTACCTGACTTCAGGACTCGCATGGGCATCCATCTTGCAAGGCGACCATCAAACATCGAGCCACTCTCACTATGTCGTAGAGCGATTCTATTCTGACACCCAGCCCAACAAACATGAACATCACAACATATCACGACATCGGGCAATGCTGAAAGATTATCATGGGTGGTCGCCTGGAAACATTTTGGCATCGCTAGAGGCAGTTGTCCAATTCCGGGTTTTGGATGTCTCAGACAACAAATTTCGCAGTGAAGCATCCCATCTGTCACACCACCAAAACCACACAAAAGCCAGACCCCCCCCCCCCACCCCAACAGAAACAGAAAAACAGCCAACCAAACGCACACCCCCTCCTCCTCCCTCCAAAACAATCAACCCCCCCCCCCCAAAACAACAAACATCGGAAACAAAGTCGAGGGGAAAACAAAAATACAACAACGCACCTCTCTCCGCCCCTAACGGGGGAGAACCCATTTTGCTTCGGGCTGGGGCTCCGGGCTTCAACTTCCGCTGCGCGAAGGCAGGGTCACGGCCATAGATGGCCATGGCGCTGTGGTACACCTTCGTGACGTCGTGGCGCTGTGCTAGGAGGGCGAAAAACCTTCTTTTTTCCTAACGCCCAAGGCTCCCTCTGGACAAACCACTCAAAGGCAAGTGGTACCAGCGAAAACCGGACAAGGCTCTGGTCAAAGGGCTTTGTTGGCCAAAAAAGGCAGGCACTTCTTTGAGAAGGGTGTTGGTTCCACATGTTCTTATCAACCCAGCCTTCTTTTCGAAACATTTGTCGCTGTCTCCCCTGTTGATGGTCTCCTGACAAGGTTCGGATCCCTGGAAAGAATGGACATGGAAGCTTCCCCTTGCGCTTTCACCCACTTCTCCAAGCCTGGGGACCGGCAACTCGCCGGTCAATTGTGAGTTGGTTGCATTGCCCAGCCGACTTTGGACCCGGGGCATCCTTAAATTGACCATGTTCGGAGTTGTGAGAATCGTTTTCGGACTCAACTGATTCATGTTGGTACCTAGGACCTAGCATGCGACAGTGAGCGTGCTAAACAAGGGGTGCCCAGCGGAGTCCTTGGAGTGTCCACCTCTCGAGTTTCATTGGACCCAACTTGCCAAAGCGAAGAAGTAGGTCGGACAACAAGGGCCCCACAACTTGCTGTTGGATGGCTTCAAAGGAGCACTTCTACTAGCAATTTGCAGGTTCCAACATAGACTCTTAGTCGGAGAGAGGGGGTCCTGGACAATCATGGTGGAATCTGCAAGCAGGGCCGATTGGTTGAGTGAAGCTAACCAATGAAACCATTCAAGGATATCCAGGATATCCCCCCTTCAAAGTTGATTCCGTGAATCTTACTAGAGCTTTGTTTGGCGTGGATAGCTGCCACTTGTTTGTTCTTAGTAGGGAATTAGGGAATCACCTCAACCGATCTGCATTCTTAAAACGCTGGCTGGCAATCAAGGATGGAACCTCCAAAAAGCTCCAAGTATGCACAAGAAGAAAGGCCTTGGCAAGCCCCAGACCCCTTTTCAGGATTGGGGGCTATTGGGTTTTGTGGGGGGGGGGGGGGGAATTGAAACCCATTCGTAAGCAGCTCCCAAAACCCATGGACTTTTGGTTCTACTGACAGGGTTATAGAGCTTCAGACCACCTAGTAAAACAGCAATTGGGGGCTTTGGGTTGGAAACGCTCTGGCGGGGGTCTGGTCGCTTTCTCTTCCAGCATGGCATCAAACCAACACACTCCCAGAACGAAGCTGGCAATCGAACACTCCGGTTTCGCGTTTGGCACCCGGGAGTGTTTCAATAGGCGCCCTCGGATTGGTAAGCTTCACGTTTGAGCCAAACGAAGGTCCATCTCGCTTTGATGGCGGACGTCGGACCCGAACGAAACTAAAGTTGACCCAAAAGAACCAAAGGGAACCAAGCAGCATGATCAAAGGGAGAACCAAAGAAACCCCGAAAATAATTCCAAAGAGAGCCAAACGACCCAACTTGAGAACCACATGCAACTGGGAGTCTTCCGGCATCTTCACATGTTGCGTTTTTAAGAATGCCTAACAGCTTGTCGTTGTGGAAGGGGAGCAACAATTTAAAATTTAGCAGTTAAGTGGGGATTTCCCACTAAACCACAATAAGCAACATGTAGAATGTTTCCCAACAACAACCATGATAAAGGGAACCAAAATTCGGAAGTCACTCGCAAAAAAAAGAAGAAGTCAAAATCAAGGAACAAGCCCCCGCTTCGCACCTCGGCGCCGTTGCCCTCGAGCAGGTCAGCATGGCCCTGGCTTCTCGAGCGCTGAAGCAACAGCACACGGGTCATTGGATCGGATAGGATATGAAACCCAGCCAAAAGGAGGCTGTCCAGCCTGACACTCCGTTTGATTCATGAGTTTCTTGGCAAAACCTTGGGGAACAATCCTGAGACGTGACATTCCGCGGTCCGCTTGGTCGCCGATTGGACCAATCCTGGACCAAATAGAACTATCTCCAAACTTAAAAGGTGCAAACATGGAATATCTCTGCATGGAGGCTTAGTTTAAAGGGTCGCCTTCGCTTACAGGGGTTTTCACGGCTTCGTTTCTAAGTGGTCGCCTTGGCTTTAGAGGCGTTTTTCGCCCTATTCCACCCGACTACTCCCTGTTCGGCGAAAAAACTCGGGGGATCCCTCCACGCGAAGCACAGCGGCTGCATCAAAACGACCGATCCGCCACGCACGAGGCGGAAGTCCGCCTTCAGCACCGCTGCCCAGGCCGCCTTGTTGGCGGCCGTGAGGGCCTGGTGTGCACCGAACCTCCATTTGCAGTACCCTGGAGAGAAAAACCACGACAGGCCCAGTTCATTTGCCGTCCAGTGCATTTGCTAAGGCCCCGGAAACAAAAGCAAAGTCCAGTAGCATGAAAGAGAAAAACCAACAGGGGAAAATATGAACAATATTCTTCAGCAAATGGAAGGAAAGGCCCCACTTTCCCGCGGAAGACTCTCCAGCACTTCAGTGGCCCACAGTAAACGGCTGGGATCCATCAACTGGCGGCCATGGCCGGCAAGTGGAAACATACATGTTGCAAGCAACATCCTTGGCCCAAATCGCCTTCAACGAAGACGGTCTCGAATGGCTGATCAAAAACGGATGTTGCCTCACAGAATGTAGTTCCAGTGTCCTTTCGGCTTCGCTTCGAGAAACACACAAGTGGGACAGCAGGTCTTTTGGGAACCTGACAACTGGCAGCGTTTGGCAACTTACGGGCAGGCTCGAGGTTGTTTCCCCCTGCTCATATTTCTTACCCAATCGCCGCCATGAAGGCTACCTCGCTTTCCCTTGCGGGGTTGCAGTTGGGGGAGGATCTGAGCAAGCAATTGTTTCCAACATGTCTAACGGGGCTCTTTTCCGACCATCCATCTTTAGTCCAGCTTAGTAAATAGCGCATATCCCGCTACAAATAAACATGAGAACCATAAAAAAACCATTTGCAGATGGAGCGCCCTTTGGCCCCCCCCTTCTGAATTCCATATGGGGGTTGATCAATATGTCTGGCCCCCAAATAATCATGATCTTTCCCATGTGGGAAATATCAACTGTTCAGTCAATGGTCATCCCATATCTTGCCTTTTTCATGTTTTTTCTATGATTGGAGACCCCTCACAGGTCACACGGATCAATCCTATCGCCGCACCGAAAACAGCGCGCCTCGCCCAGCTCGCGCAAGGCCACCCGGGGTTTGGTCACACGGCCCAGCGCCTGAGAAGTTGCCCAAGGGACCTTTTTTGACCAGTTGTCCAACCTTTTTTTGGTGTCCCATTCTTTTTGCCAACCTTGTGACCTTTCGGGGACACGAAACATGGGCCAAATCAGGGAAACTAAAAGGTGAAAAGCTTGGTTTTGGGCAAGTGAGAAAACTCGGAAAGCCATGGATCATCACAAAAAAGACAGATCCCATCGTCTCGTCTCTTCTAGCGAATTTGGAGTTTGCTTCTTAGACTCAGCTTTTGTCCCCCTACCCCCCGGCAAAAAACAGTAAGTACGGACGTAATTTAACAACCATGGAAACGGTGGTATCTGCCCGGGAACTCGGAAACACTCCTTGAAACCTGCAAATGTTTTTTATTTCTGGTCCATGTCTAGCGAACCAAGCAAACACGTGTTGTTTGGTTCCGCTGTGCCATTCGTGCCCCACAATCTTGCGGCCTTCCCAAAGTCTTGGGAAAGCCACGATTTGCTGGAGGGGACACAAAAAACAGTTGCGGGATACCAGCTAGGGCCAGTCCCACAATGACTTGTGCTAGCAGATTTACAGAATCCGCTAGAAACCAGGTTGGGTCTCGGATGCATCCTTTGAGGAACCCTGTTGGACAAAGGCTTTACATTGGCTACAACTTACCGAGCTTGGAGAGGTACCAGGTATTTCGCCAGTTGAAGCGGCGCCGCCTTTAGAGCCGTAAATCCGAACCGCTTGGCGGCTTGACGAATCCGTGCCCCGCAGCCTACACCATGGGTGTTGCTTGTACCCTGCCAAAAGCCACCGGTTGGGAAACCTTGACGTCGGGTTTGGGGAGCAAAGATTTTTCAATTGTAGCAGTTAAGTGGTTGGAGTTCAACCAAACCATAAGCAAAAATGGGAAACATGTTGCCCAACAAGGACCATGAAACACAGCAGGCGACCACCGGAAGCTTGACCATAAATGCACGGTCCTGAGAAACGACTCGACTCTGAAGACATAATGGTCAGGCCCCAAGAGGTAGTTCATGGGGGGGTTGAGCGTATAAAGATATATATACATATATATATATAGAACAAACACACTTGTTCTTTCAGACGGGCTGAAGATGTCACTTACTCGATCTAGTTGAGTTATCAATAGCATGGACAATGTATCCCAACTCCGCCATGCAATCGACTTGTTGAAAGCAATACTTCCCCAAGGCTGAGCACAATATCATGACATGCCACATGTAGATCTCAAACCATCCAGATATCCTTCTCAAATTGGGCAGGGCAACCAGCTTCAACAAACAATAACAGCCTTACACTTGCGATCATCTGGGTGCTCAAAGAAATCGGAATCCGCTGAAACCGCGGATTCTGTTGCTTTGTCGAACACGTGGGGGCTAGAGGTACCCAACTTTTGCGCCTGGGTCGGTTTGTGTTTGAGGGTACCCCTTTTTTTCTGGTTTTCGCTTGGAAACCAAGAGGACAACCTAACATTTTGGGGGGATCCCCCAAAAAAAAGCAAAACACATCCGGGACTTCGGCCTCCGCAGCTTCCAGATCCTGCGCTTCCATTTGCCAGGCGAGCCTGAGAGGGCGAAAAAGAGCCACTTGGGTGAAGCCAAGACTGTGGAACAATTTGGAAAATGAATGGGTTAAGTAGAAATTGGAAAATGGGAATAACACAAAAATTGGAAAATGAATGGAAAATTGGAAAAATGGAAAGTGAATGGAAAATGGGAACAATGTGAACGAACACATTGGAAAACATGGGAAAATGAATGGACCAATGGAACAATGGGAACCCTAATTTGGCCGAACATGACACTTCTGCAGCGCAAAGGTAATTTCTTCAGGGCGAGACAATGGCTAGAAAATGGCTGATATTTCTGCAATATCTGCAGTCAAGCGGGCTTCCTGTTGAAAACGGAATGCACGCAAATGTTGCACGATCTGTGTCACATAGCCATTCCAATGCCTGATCCTTTCAAAATGCAAGATCGGCTGTTCCGCAAAAAGAGGTCCTCTACAATGCTTATAATATAAAGCTAACAGGGCCTCCACAAAGAGAAAAAAACCAGATACGGAGCCCAGTGTCTCGAGTGCATGGTGGAGGCATGCGTGGTATTCTCCCGCTTCGCAGTTGCGCCTCCAAACAGCTCAATCGAATTTACCTTTTGTTTCACAGCCTCTGCCAAGAGCTTCAAAAGTTCTCCACGGCACCTGAGACTGGGCCGTTTAACCAACGCTCGGAATGGCTCTGGAATCACAACTTATCTTCTGGGTGTGTCTTTTTGTTTGGGGGGGGGGACGGGGCCCCAAAGTTTTGGCTTTCCGATTTCCTTTCAACCCATCCAAAAAGGGGTACCCATCCAAAAAAAGAAAAGACACACCCGGAAATCTGGTCCGGAAGCTTCATTAATCAAACTAAAAGGTCAAATCCAAAGGAGTTTGCATTAATCTATCCCCAGACCAAAGATTGGGACCAAACCAAAGGTCTCTGCTCTTGGCTGTCTGTTTTGGGGAATCAACCGTTATGCGTCCGACTAGCTTTGACACTTTCCCGCAAATCAGGAAGAAGCCTGAGAGGTGTGGATTGGCGGCCTAGCACTTACAGAGCATAAGATACGCCATGCATGTATCAGCAACTACTACTAGGAACAACATAACCGCACAAAAGAAAACAGTTTCCAAACGCCAACGTAGTGAAACATGATGGTGACCTCTGTTCGAAACGCAACTGTTCCTTCAGTATTTCTCTCAGCAGGTACATGTTGCCACGAATCCAGTTTTGTGCCAAGCAACACGTAAGGCTCTTGGACTCTTTGCTACTTAATGGGGATCAAACATTGTCCAAGGTCAAACCAAAGAGACAATAGCCAAATAGTTTTATTGGCTTCTAATAACCCATACCCAGACCCTAAGTCTTCTCTCCAGCCGTGCCACCTGTAAAGAGAACCCCACATTCCACCCCCTTAAGCCAAGCTTCGCCGTGTCGTGCGTCAGCGCTTCAGGTATTTTGACCTGGGGCGTCTTTCCAAAGCTGCTGAACATCGAGCGTAGTCAAGCAGCATGAAGAAGCAAGTCGCAGTAGATGCTCTTGTTCCGAGAAGCCCGCTTTCAAAGTGGTGCAATCGAATGGGGCCAAACAATTAGGCGCTGCGACTCGCATGCGACCCGTCGGCAACAAAATTCCAAGGCCTACTGAAGGAAGCCACAACGCAAAGCTCGGATTGGACGGTTTCTTTGGAGTCAAAATCGAAATCCGTCTACGGGCTTTCCTCTAAGCCTAAGCAATCTTTGGTTGCACAATACTTGGCACTGATTTGGAGATCATTGGTCGAGCTAAAGGAAACCGGTATTTACACTTACGCGGTGGTGTGAGGTGACCCCACCAAGAAGTGTCCAGTGGCTAGTGGATACATAAACGGGTCATGTTTTGGGCCCAGGTGTTCCTCTGCGGATCAATATGGAAATGGACAGAGCAATCCCTCCGCAAGTCTGCAGGAGTGGACACCAAGGGGAGAAACTTTGAGATGATCTCTAAAGCCACAACCTTTTCCTGGATGATTGAGCTGGGTGCTTTCTAAGACGTAAACTCCTCCAAATAGGTTCCCTCTGAAATCAAGGGACAAAAAGCCATGAACCCATCTTGAAGCCCGTTTTCCTCTCTCAACTGCTTCTTCAGTCCCCGCTTTGGGCCATCTTTCGCTCGCCTTTGAGTCGAGATGCGTTGGGGAGCACGGGGCTGAGGCCCTGCAAAGCCTCCTCCAGCATGGCACGGAAGCCTGGCACCGCTTGGGAAAATTAACATGAACTCACACACCAGCATCACCACCGCCACCGCCATAATAATAATAGTAGTAATCATCAGCACCAGCACCAGCACCATCATCATCATCATCATCATCCTCCTCATCCTCATCCTCATCCTCATCCTCATCCTCATCCTCATCATCATCCGCATCCTCATCATCATTATCATCATCATCCTCATCCTCATCATCATTATCATCATCATCATCATCATCATCATCATCATCATCATCATCATCATCATCATCATCATCATCATCATCATCATCATCATCATCATCCATCAATTATTCTCCACCATCAGCAGCATCATCATCATTAAAGCAAACTCTCTTTGGAACCCTCCCGCCCCCTTTCAGGTTCTATGTTGAACATGTAACCACTGTACTCAAACATCAACAAGGCGACCTGGGCGTGGGAGTGATACTCCCTATCCCTCTTGCACACTAAGGGGGTTCGTATCATAGATTGTCCCAAACCGCCGATTGCTTTGCGTCCCTCCTTGATTGAAACAAACTTCTTATTAGGTTCAGGTGTAAAGCCCTCTGGTCAAACCCGCAATCGGCAACCACCCAGAGAAATCCTGCCTCAACTTGTACATTGCTGCCCCCTCCCGAAAGAAAAAGAAGGACACCTCCTCAACCAATATTAATACTTGAAAATAAAAGAGAAATGGAAAGATACAAATCTATTATTGAAAAGTAGATGAAAGAGACCGAAAGAAGAGGATAGGATCCGGTCAAATGCTTGTCTTTTTTATTTTAATATTTCTGTCGTAATAGCAGTTAAGAGAGTTCCTATGTCTTTCTTTTCTATGGGGCAGCTGCCGATTTATGGCTTGGTGGCTCGAGAGCCCTCTGTTGGATTTCCATTTTCAGATGTCAAAGCCTCTGGGGCCATTCGGGGCCGAGCGCGAGCGACGTCATCAGCACCTCTTAGGCACATCGCCATTTCTCCGGCTTCACAAGTCAGCCGCAGGTGTAAGGGGCCGAAAAGAAATCACAAACAGTTTATCCTTAGGATCCCAGTTACCCTTGTAGTAGGCAACCAACTATTGTTCCTTTTGGTTTTTGAAACCTAAGCCCTTGGTTATCTACTATACAGGCAACTGGATCCGCTGGGATCAACCACTTATTTGGGCCATGTGTATGCCAATCCCCACACACGGGCTCCAAGTGAAACAAAACGCGCTGATGCCCTCGCCTTCGGCGTAGGACTGGACTTCTGGGTCCTGCGAGCTGTGCATGGCCGCTCTGCGCTGGACGGGTGGCTCGTCTACTTTAAGGTTGCACCCCCCAAATTGCTTCGGGTCTCTTCTTGGTTTCCGTTGAATACAAGGAAAGACATTGTCCCCAACAAAATATGCCATTCATGATATGTTGAGATGGTCCATGCATAGTGAAGATTGACGTATAGAATAAAATCAAACCGATTGCGCCTTGTAACATGGTGTTGCAGGGCAGGTGTTGGGTGGCTCCCTCGCCAAAAGGGGCATGTGTCCTCCCCTCCCTTCAGCTTTGAAGAGGAGAACGCAGCTTGAGCCACAAAAAAGATGAGGGTTGCGACTCGCGACAACAATTCCAAAATGGCGGGGTACGGACGTCCGACCATGTATTTATGTAGGAACCCTTTCCGACTTGATTTTTGCCCCATGTCCAGGAATCTGGAAAAACAGATTTGGGTTGGCAGTAAGCAAACATGCTCGGTTCAGCAAAAGGCTCACCACACACAGACACACAGCACAACAAAAAGGAAATAAGGCGATGTGACTCGATTCTGGCCCCTGTTTTGCTATCTGTGGAAAAACTCAGGCCGCATTTGGGGGATGTGAAAACTACCTTGACCCTCCAAATGTCAAAAAGGAGTTGTGTTGGCTTGCTTAAACCTGTCCCAGTGTAGCACGTGCCCAGCTCAAGTTTGAAACGCCACCTTTCTTCCCCAGGATGCAGTGTCATCTCGGTCTTGATTCCTCCCCCAAGCAACACCTGGCAAAGAAGCCGTGGACTCATGCAAGCTTTCCTCTTCACTTGACTGGCCGGGGCTCTGGAGCAAAACGCTCAACCTGGGACCATTCGGAGTGTCCAACAAATTGGCTGCCGGCTCTGGGACCTGTGGGATAACTTTCAACCAACCAATGTCCGGTGTTTAAAGCGACAAAGATAATTTAAATGTTGACCCTGGATCAATAAACCCGTCCTATTATTCGGGGGTGGCCCCCACTAAAGTGGACACGCCCCCAATACACCGGGGGTTTATGGCTGAGAAGGGGCAGCCACCGGGGCTTGTAGTTGTGAAAGCCACATCTGTTTGGTTTTAAGAAATTAAAGAACACAAAAACACAACCCATTCAAAAAAGAACAAACAATGCCCCCCATCTTATGAATCCGGGGTTCCCATGAAATCATTTGGCAGTGGCTCAAAAAATCGGTACCAAAATGGAACCCTGCTAAGTGGAAACATGGACCAAAACCTGCGTAACCCCCCCTGTTTAATTTTGAGCCACACCCATTTCACTTTCCCTTCTCCGTTTCCTTTGGGGCAGTCGGTAAAATTCGATCTCCTGATCCTGCTCCTGCATCCTCTCCAACTCTTCCTCCGTCAAGCCGTTGCTGGACGCCACCTGCGTCGCATCATCGCGCGAGAGGATCGATGCGCGCGAGTCGGGAGTCGCTCTTGGATCGCGGCTCAGAGTTTTGCACGAACCATACTGTGGGTTCCAAGGATTTGTCTACACCCTGGGATTACACCCCTAGGGAAACTAACCAAAACAACACTAAATAAACAAAAACAAGCAGGTTTTATCTAAACAAAGGTCATGTTTACTCGGTGGCTTTCTGCTCCCCCGCGAAAAGTGAATAACTTTTAGTGGTTTTAATACGGAAAACCCATTGGTTGGCAAAAGTTAAAGTCCCAACATCCAAGCAGGACGCACATAAGATACTTTGGGTGGACGAAATCCGCTTCGCACCACCTAAGAAACCCTGGAATGATGATTCCCCGGTAAATACTCACCAACAATGGTTTCCCGTGGATGCAAAGTGGCGCAGGATTTTGTTCATCCACGGTAGGTGCCTTTTGTTGAAAACAGATGGCCCTGGTAGATGATGAACCAACCAGGTCAACCAGGGCCTGGCTAAGTTCTGCCAAAAAGGACACCTATGACACACACACACAGAGAACGGATTATGTTAGGACTTGAGACGTGCTTTGTGCGGCACCTTTCGGAGCCTTTCAATTCTTCGGGGCCTTTCACTCGCCTGAAATCTGGGGCAAAATCCTTGGATGGAACGCCGGGTCCTTCGTGTTGTGCCGAACGTGCCGCTGCTGGATGTACGAATTCAACCTCCATATATTTTCCCCGTCCTCCCCGCCAGGTCCCTTTCTGGTGTTGCCCATGGTTGCCAAAACGCGTCGAGCGACAAATGTGGCAAGCAAACGATGCGTCTGGGTTCCTTGTGGGGATCTAGAAAATGAACAAAACGAATCTATCCCTCTGTGAGCAAGACCGAACCAATCTCTGGCCATCTTTCCATTTGCTGGCTTGCCTCCAAACAAACTCCAAGCAACACTCCAATATGGATCCCTCGATTCTTGCATCTAGACTGACCTCTAAACAAACTCTGTTGATCAGTAGGGCTCCACGACACAAAACTTGGTTGCTGCAACGATCCCCCTGCAAACAGTGGACAACTTGTTTGGGGCTTCGTGGAGAAAACACCTTTATTTCAACCAACAAGTTAAAGTCTAAAGATCCAACTTCCAATAGCAGCCCCAAAAAAAAAGAACGAAGAGGTCGCTTGGGGAGCGGATCCAATGGAGGGTTTTCCATGCTATCCACTGCCATGAAACTGAAGGCTGCCCGTTCTCAGATCCCCGAAAAGTGACTCACTGTTTGTGGGTGAAATTCGGAAACCCCCAAACACTAAAAGCCTAAAAAGGCGAAGAACCGGATGGATGGGAGCCGCCAAGGAAATCGGATCCCTTCCATGAGAGATCGAAGAATCCTGTTGGGCAATTGGGTAGCTGCAGCTGCCGTGGCCTTTGACACCTGCACCAGCCATATAAACTGTTTGCTGGTTGATGCTTTGTTTGCATTTGGTTAAGACCCCCGGAAATTCTTTTTTGAAAAAAATAACAATATGTCCAGTAGTGACAAATTCCTTTTAAAACCAACAAGGGGAAAATACTCTTAAGCAAATGGAAGTGTGTCGTTCAAAAGGAGTCAAACCGATTTGCCTCAAACCGATAGTGAAGCCAAGAGTAAATTCGCCATGGCGCGTTTTCCACCTGCAGCTTCCGGTGCCTCTTTCTGGATCTGTTGCAGCTTCTCAAAGACCTGAACTCGGGCAAGGGCTCCAACGACCCTCCTCGAGCTTTACCCAAGGCCCGAAGCAAAGCGGGAAACAAGGTCATGTTTACTCGGTGGCTTTCTGCTCCCCCGCGAGAAGTGAATAATTCTTAGTGGTTTAATTCGGAAAACCCATTAGTTGGCAAAAAGTTAAAGTCCTAACATCCAAGCAAAGTGCACCAAAGTTTTTTCTGTTTCATCCATCGTCGGATTGTTCAATCAAATGTTCTCCCACGCTGCATGCCCCTTAACGAGCGGGCCGGCAGAATCTGGGGGCACTAGGCCCTGATTTTGAACACCGTCTATTGATTGTGTGAACAGGCCCAAATTTGGCTGAACGCACCTTCTGTTGCTCGGCCGGGAACCTTCCATTTGCTTAAGCCCCCTGGAAAAAACGAACAAAAAACACAGTAGTGATAGATTCCTTTAAAACCAACAGGGGCAAATACAAATACTCTCAAGCAAATGGTAGGAACACAAGTTGAAGCTAACAACTCTCCGCCCAAGTCGAGCTATGGGCAGAATGGGACCCAACACAAAGCACACGTTGCACGGTTCACGGAGGGTTGGGACTCGAAAAAAGGTCGCTACTGTGTCGACCCACACGATAGTTGATAGGGAAACCATGGCAAGCCACTTAGTTTTGACGAACCCTTCCATCCCTTCCCACCCCACCGGGAGGGGATTTCCATACGCGACTCGGCACGACTCAACAACTCACCTGAGTCCTCCTGCCCCCACCCTTTTTGGCACGAGTTCAGGGAACCGAGGCACCGAGCAGGCCAGGGTTCCCTACATCAAGATCGGACCTTCCAAAGGTGATGGGCAATTTCCAACAAGGGTAGATGTTCAATTCTGGGTTGTTTATTTTAATAATCATATGAGCCAATGGGTACTCATGTCGAAAAACGACACACCCCACAAAAGTGCAAGAAATGATACGATCAAACCAGGATTGGGCCAACCTGATAAACTTGGGAAAGAAAACGCCATTGCTTCAACAGCATCCTCTTGGTTTCCCGAAGCGGGCGGGAGGTAGCCGAGGGGCCCTGCTTTTGTCGACCCCAAGCTGATCTCGAGCCCAAAAAAAGCCAAGCGAAACAGGGGAAAGTCTCGCGCAAATCGACGACGGGAAGAACAAAAAGAACACGCGCCTGGCATTGCTTCAGAAGCTGCTCCTGGAGCGTCTGCTCCGCAATGGACATCTGGCTCGCCTGGAGGTCTCTGGAGGGTCTTCGAATTGCCAAGTTAGTAAGGTGAGACTCCAGGTAACGGCATTCGGCTATAACCCAGGGTGCACCCTGAACGTGTTCGGTTAGAACCCACTTATATATGTGCCCCGTGAACGTGGGGTTTACCTTGTAAATTCCTATAAGAACACCCAGTGGCGGTCCCCGCTAACCTGGCAAATCGAACACCCAAGTAGAAAATAATTCAAGCCAAAGATCCAGAGGTCTGTTTTTTTTTCTGAAGCGCTTTTGGGCGCGATATGGTCTGAGCGAACATAAAGCCAGCATGCCTTTCTATGGAATGAGTGTAAAGCAGGGGACGCTGTGTCAACGGTCAACTGAGCTACGTCTCCCTTCGCCGAGCCCTGGTCCTGCTTCCGCCCCGCCTCCATCTTCGCCCTGACCGTGTTGGCGATGGCAGCCACGTCTTGGCACACCAAGAAGAACCTCTGAGTGAAATGCAACTTTCAAACACCCTGCTACAGTGGAGGGGCAAATCCTACACCACGTGGTGGATGGTTTATCCCAGATCATGAGGGTTTTACGAATGGATATTCCGACAGGTCTGACTGGTGCAGAATTTTGTCAATTCACAGACAACCTGGCCACTTTCAACAGTATGTTGAAATGGGGGGAGACAACGCGTGGCACAAGTTGACCATAGACTGAGCCGCATGTAGAACTTGGATGAATTCGGCGCACAGGTTCGGCGCGAGCCCCTTCACCTAAACACAGGACTCCTCAACCCTGAGACCGATATGCGCATTATACCATGCAGTACACCCCTTACCACCTAAGAAACCCGGAATGATGATTCCCCTGTAAATACCAACAAACAATGGCTTCCTATGGTTTCAATTTGGTGCAGGATGTTGTCCATCCACAGTAGCAACTGTGCTTTAACTAAGCAACTCGGATGCCACGAAGAGCTTTGCTGCTCTTCCGCGAAATGCAGTCTCAGCGCCAGGAGCGCTCGTCCCGTGCGCTTGCCCCCAGTTGACACCCATCGTGTCAGCCTGGCCTTTGAAATCCAAGGCACCCATCCCAAGAAAACCAATTCCAATCACTTCACTCACCCCTGAACCGACAAGCTCGGGCCAACTTCCTGCTTTGCATAAACCACAGTTGTTTCGACAACCGCCTCTTCGGCAACCTCTTTCCTATCTAAATCAGACCAAGCATTGGTTGTTGAAACGGAACTGACAACAGGGCTCCCCAGAACTTCCCCGTTAGGCGTCACACCACTTGAAGAAACTCATCTTGTATTTCTTCCACCTTTGGGCGTTCAACACCTCTACGGGCCTGCAAAAAAACCCACCTCTGGTGTCCCTTAGCCATCCCGACCAACTTCGCGGCAAGCTCAAAAAGAGACATACAAGGTGTATATATATATATGTAAATAACACATACATACATGCATGATGTGTATATATATATATATAAATAATATAATATATATATATATATATGTAGAGTACGGGATCCCTCAGCCAACCCCGGAAAAACCACGTCCCTAAACCCTAACCCTCCCGTGCCCAAAGCGGCCATATTTCCCCCCGCCTGCGCGAGAGCTCACGGAGCACTTGCAGCAGCAGCGGGCGCTGCTTCAGCACTTCGCCATCGGCCCTAGCGTGTACCCCCAAGCCTTGTGGCCAAAAAACGGCCCCGGGGCACAAAGAACTCAAGGCTTTTGCTTCGGAAGAAGAACCGAAGGTCCAACCGAAGGCCCCGATGGTCCACCTCGCCGTTTCAAGTTAAGATCCTCAAGTTCACTTTTGCTTCGTCGGAAGAACGAGACAAAAGCTCGAGATTCACCAGAAGTTCAGTTCGTCGGTTTACAAATTTTCCCAACAAGTAGCCTCCTCACTCCCACTAACATGACACCTGACAGGGGGTCCCTACAAGAAGGAAATGAACTTCCAGGTGCCCTCCCATAGGTGCTATGTTCGTGGTAGCGAGGCTAGGCAAAAGATCGACCCAAAGAGCCAAAGCTAACGATCCCTTTCTCAGGCTCCCTCAAAGGAAGCGACTTCTGCTTGGAAAAGAACTCATCTGCCAGCGAAGGAGCCTGGGATCCTTTGATTTCAATTATCACTAATATACTTATATTGTGTCATGTACACATACAGATATCCAGCAAGTGTAAGAAGCCTCCGATGGATTGAACACGGGCTCCTGACTTCGTGGCTCAAAATGAAGCACCAATTCACGCCCAAAAGAAGTATCCAATTTTTGACTTGGAGGACAAATCTGAGTCAAGTCCCCATGCGGCCTGCTTCTGGTGACGAGTAACGCCTCGGTTCGCGGAAGAGGCCGACACAAGCCATGCGGATTTGGTTCGGGTGAGCGTGAGTAGCTCAAGAGCCCGGGAAAATGGTTCATGATATTGGAGTCTTTGAAAATGATACACCCTCTTTGAGTTGGTAGTGAAAGGGAAATCAAAAGGAAATGAAAAGGACACCAGCACCAGCTTCTGGCCAGTCGCAGAACACATACCTCCATTTGCTTAAGTCCCCTGGAAAAATAGAAATATTTCCAGTAGTGATAGATTCCCTTTAAAACCAACAGGGGAAAATAAAAAAACATTCTTAACCAAATGGAAACATATCTACGTCTAACCTCGTTCTTTGGTCGACTTGAGGTCCGGAGCAGCCCTGCCCGCGCTCGGATTTTCTCAGGTTCCGCGCCACGATCAGAGAGGTCACGCCAAGGGTGGCGGGCAGGACCCATGATGGTCTGCACATGCCAGTGTGCAAGGAAATGGCATTTACGTGCTAAGGGCTGTGGGTCAAACACATGCGTTTGGGTCAAAACCAATGGTACCATTTTGGGGTAGGTGCACCACTCATTTTAGTCTATTTTAGTTGGGATGTTCACTAGGCGTGGCCACTAGGGGAAGGGTTTGGGAGCCCTGCAATAGCTTGGAGATCATGATGGTCACAGCAACCCTTGAAGCTGTTCCCCAAGAGGACATCAAGCATCTGGTCTGACTCATTCACGGAGCTGACCAGGAAAAACAGGGGCCAAGCCTCAGCCATGGTGTTTCCCTGAATAAACGGCCCTATTGAACAAGTGGAAGGTGAGCTCTGGATCAGATCAATCAACTCCCCGAACCAGAGATTTAATCCTGTGTGTGCAGATCACAGATGGGCCAAGCCCTTGGAGCAACCCTCCAAAACATTGTCCCCGAAGCAACGCAGCAGAACTGAAGGTTGCTTCACCAGGGCTCATCATGCATTTGACCGCAAGAGAACACCAAACTTGTACAAACAAAACTCTATTTTCCCCGCAAAACGCTTTACAGTCCCAACGTCTCCAGAATTGTCCAAGTTGATCCCCACAGTTTGAGGATGGAGTCGGCCCGAAAAAAAGTTCCGAGTTGCGCCACACATTTAGGTCCCAAACCTACTGTTCACGGAAGAAATCCCGCACCACCTAAATGATTGTTTCACTAGACCACGCTGCCACAAAAACAGGACGCTCTGACGATTGGTCATATCGCAGCTCTCCCTTTCGTAGGAATATTGTACGTTCAAAGAACATGCCAGAAATTGAGTTTTGTCGGAAGAGGGCGCGGTAGGTTCATGAAGAGATTGCTATGCTGCAGCATATGTCACAAACCATCTGTGGGATGCGAGACCTTTCTGGCCATTGGCACATACTGGAAGACAAGCAAATGCGCACTGGCGAGCATGCGGACCGGCGGCACTGGGAAACACATGAAGGCACATACTGAGAGACAAGTAAATGAGCAAACTGGCAAGCATGCAGCCCGGCGCTCTGGCGGCCTGGGGAGGCACATGAAGGCACATTCTGGGAGACGACGCTGGCAAGCATGCGGCCCAGCAATCTGGCAGCACTGGGAGGCAAATGAAGGCACGTGCTGGGAAACAAGTAAATGTGCACACTGGCAAGCATGAGGCCCAGCGAGGAGTTTTAGTAGAATTTTCTCCAGGGCCGAGATTTAATTTAGGATGTTTGCTTTATTTTGGGATTTTGTGTTTTCCGTCCTGGCTACAAAAATGCTGTAATTTACAGCATTTTCTCGCGAAGTGTACGTATTTTACGCTAGTCCGTCAACATCATCAGCATCGTTTTCAACATCCGCGGCATGTCCAGCCAGCATCCCCAGCATCACCAGCGATGGCCTCGTCGCCTTAGTTTGCGGAGCTGGCGCCTCAGAGCCCAAACCCTGAACCCCAACCCTGAACCCTTGAAGCCTGAACCCTGAACCTTCAGCCTTCAACCCCAAACCCCAAACCCCAAACCTTGCACGGCCAAGACTGCGGACTGAACCTTGAAGAGCCTGCCCGCAAACCCTGAAGCCTGAACCCTTGAAGCCTGAACCCTGCGCCTTGCGCCTGGAACCCCGAACCCCAAACCCCTTACGCAGTCGTCGAGCCAAAACCGCGGACCTTAAACCCAAACTTGAACCCAAAACCCCGAACCCAGAACCCAAAACCTTAAAGCGCCGAGCCGCGGCCCGGAACCGAAGTACCAAAAAACTGAAACTCCAAATCCTTTATCTGTGTTGGCGTACATTGGCGCGAGCCACTAAAACCGTAAACCCTAAACCCGGCGAGCAGAAACGCAGACTAAAACTTGCGGCCCGAAAAAAATTGCTTCGGCCCCGCGGCCGCCTTCCGCTTCATGCGGACGGGCGAGTTGTCGATGGCCGTGGCGTACGCTTGGCCCTGGATCTTCTTGGTGTCGTGCCGTCGGAGCTGTGCCAAGACCTTCTGCTGCTCTTTCTCCAGGCCCTTCGCGATGTCCTCCTCCGCCTTCTGGCGGCCGACTCGCTGCGCCCGGATGGTGTGCAGCCATTCTAGGGCCTTGTCCTTCCCCTCATGGCCCGTGATTTGGAAGAAGGGCGCACGCAGTTCGTCCTCCACCTTGCTCCACACCTTCCCGAGCGGGCACGTGTCCAGGTGGGTCTTGCCCTCACTGCACCCGCGGCATGGGAAGGCCGCTCATAGCACGCGTTGCACGTCAGCCCGCCGTCGCAGAACCAGTCCACAAAAGGACGGCCCTTGTGCGCGCGAACCTCGCACTCGTGCTTGCGCCTCTTGGTCTCCAGCGCCGCAGGCGGCTCCAAGAGGGCGAAATACTGCTTGATGTCCTGCGGGAGCAGCTCTCCCTGGACGCCGCTGTTGGGGTCCGGGTGGTGGGCCCGCAACAAGCTGTGCTTCTTAGCCTGTAACTCCGTGGTGTCGGGCTCGCCGCCCGCCTCGATCTCGAACACCCTCTTCGCCTTCCGCATGGTGGCGGCTGCAGGGTCCACCATGTCGGCCGAAGAGAAAGGCAGCATGGCGACGAGGGCAGGAGCAAGGGCAAGAGGGGCCAAGTGAAGTAACGGGGCCACCAGGACCTCCGGCACAACTCAGGGCAGGGGCAAGCGCCGCCAACCTTCAGGGTCGCCAGGACCTCTGAAGGAGGGCAGGCAAGCAGGGTGAGGTGATGGGGCCACCAGGACCACCGGCACAGCACAGGGCAGGAGGGCAACTGAGCGCCGAGGGTCGGCTACAAGTCTGAGCTTTCGCGGCTACCAGGTTACATGTCCTTCGTGTAAAACTTCATGGGGAGAGGCGGGAGATCCCGGCAAGGGCAGCATGCTCCCAATGATCAAAACAAGGGCCCTTTAGGGAGAACTGCAGGGGAGATACTTTGGGTTCCACCAACAACACCCAGAGCACTGTTGGGGAACCAGCCGCTAAACAAATCACGGCCTCAAGTCGCGGCACAGCAGGCCAACAGCAGTCCACAGACAGCCCGCTGCGATATACCGGAACATGCTAGAGTACACATACTCCCAGATGCGTTGGTTCCCAGTCTGTCCTTTTCTGTCTCCCTTCTCCCTGTGAGAGCTCCTGGTGGGCCTTACAGGGGGGCTGCTTTCCCTGTTTGACTGCTCTTGTTTTTGCTTACGTCGTCGTAGACGGCCCCGTGTAACACGTTCATTTTGCAACTTGATGTTAGGGGACCGGAGGGGTCCAAAAAGGCGAAGAGTCCAACGGGGAAAAACACACGGAGAGGAAGAGAAGTCCCCCTGTAAGGCCTGCCAGGAGCTCTCACAAGGAGACAACGATCCGAACCCACCGTCGCAGCAAGACGACGTTGGTTACAAGAAGGGCCGAAGGGGACCAAAAAGATGAAAGGGGTCCACCTGTGACACCAGGAGCTCCCACAGAACAGAAAGAATGGAGCTCTCGCAGGAAGAAAGATCAAAAGATTAGGGATCACAGGGGTCCAAGCAAAAGGGTCCAGAAAGGTCGCAGAAGGGCCAGGAGGAATGCGAAAGGGAGTCAACCAACCACAAGGCAAACTGCCAAACAAGAAAGAGCACGCGCAGGGCAACCCGCAGGAAAAAGGGACGTCCTCCGTTGAGGCCCACCAGGAGCACTCGCCGGAAGAAAATCCAATTTAAGTTTTTTTAGAACCAAAGAACCACAGAAACCATTAAACCAAGAAACCAAGAAACCAAGAAATAAAGAAACCAAGACCCAAGAAACCAAGAAATAAAGAAACAAAGACCAAAGAAACCAACAAATAAAGAAACACACAAGCATAGAAACAAAGAACAAAGAAACAAAGAAACAAAGAAACAATCAAAAAAAGAACCAAGAAACCCAGAAACAACAAAAGAAACACAGAAACAAAGAAACAAAACCCCCGACTTGAATGACCGGATTTCGCTGGTAGCAGGCAAACTGCAACAACAGGGGATTCTTGCATTAACGAGCAGCCTGACGCATTCGCCATCCTCTAAAAAAAGGTCTATGCTGCCTTTGGTCGGCCCGCCTTTGGTCGGCCCATTCACCACATGGCTGTCGCCTTTCTACCGAAAGAGAAAATCAGCCGGAGCTCGAAGGGAGGCAGGGTTGAAGCCACAGAATATGTCAGCTGGTGAAATTCATGCAAGCAGAATTTGGGGATGGGTAGAGTGCACCTCAGGAACGTTAGGCGACCAAAATACCAAAGCCACGTGGCATTGAACATCCAAGTAGCAAAAACAAAATGGTAAACCTCCTTCATTGGAAAATCCTACTTATGGCAATAGTGGCGCAGCTTGGGATGGGCTTACATTCCTTTATCACACTGGGTATCCCCCAGTAAAGCAGCTTCATGAATGAGGCCATGTGTGGAAAAACATGCAAGGAGCAGCACGACCGTCTCCCGTTGCGTCGTTCCTTTTTGCCGGAAAAGGTCTCTGGCCGGCCGAAGGTGGCAAAGCAAGCCGTGCCTTAGCAACTCTTCAGCATGAGTTGAACAGGGTGCAGGATCAAAAAATAATTATTTACGGGATCAAAAAGAAATTATCGACACCCGGATTAAAAACAAATTATTTACAGGATCAAAAACAAATTATCTCGCCTGGGGGTGCCAAAACGCTGTAATTTACACCATTTTCGGGCAACAGCGCGCGCATTTTACGGCTCCAGCTGTAAAATAGACACTTTCCAATACAAGCGCAGTACGCGAAGGTCACTTTGTCCAGTTCGAAAATCACAACTTTTCAGACACAAGCGCAGTTCTATCAACGAATCTAGCATCGGTTAAATGCCTGTAGGGTTGGCTTAAGGTTGTGTAGGGTTTTAATGTAGGTTGGGTTTCGGGTGGGTTTGGGGTGGGTTCAGGCTTGGTTTAGGGACGGTTTAGGGTTTGTTTACGTTGGGTGGATTTAGGTTGGTTTAGGGTAGGTTTAGGTTGGGTTTTGCGGCGGTTTGGTGGGTTTGGGG